GTATTTTTAAAAAGACATGTTTTGTACGAATAAAATGTTGCCCTGCATTTTCATGTCACTATCAAACCAATGCAAGTGGGCATGGGCTAAGATACATTTTAGCCATACCAGAATTTTGGACCAGGAAGTGTGTGTGCCCTCTCTCGTGGCTCCATGGTCAGTAGCTGTGTCCTATTATTTTGTAATATTTCAGTGTGTAACTATAGGTTTGCTTGAGTGCAGTGGTTCGGCAGATTTATCTGACGGCAAAATGGCAAAAAATGAATGAATAAAAATAAAAGGTATTCAATTCAGTACAATTTTAAGCACCAAATCATAACATGTTAAGATTGAGAACTTAATGTATACAGAAGCAATGGGAACTGTTTTGTCGACTGTGGAGAGAAACTTTTAGTTGAACCAGACTCAGTGTTGGCAATTCATCTAAAATGTAGAAATGTGAAAAGAAGGAAGTCAAATGTTGGGAAAAATGTACGTAGACTCAGGGTGTGAAAGAATAAAACAGGAAAGAGTAGAGGTTAAATGCGTTCATTGATGATCCTTGTAAAGTAAAACTGAAAATGTTATTCCAGGTAGAAAATCGATGTTTTTTCCACATTGCCAATTCTCTCTTCTCTCCTCAACATCCACACTGTCCAACAGCTCTGCAGGGAGGCGTAAACTGAAATCCAAATACTGCTCTGTCCTGACATTTACCATCAGATGTGTGTCTGCCTCTATGTGTTGAATTGTTGACTGACATTTTGTATTACTACTAACATATTACTGCCACTAAAGAACATGGATGCTCGGTCAAAAATAATATGAATCGAATAAATTACACAAAAAGTGTTCAATACAAATATTGGCATGGATTTACCTGTGAAAATGTGAAAACAAAAACATGAAAACAAAGTTTAAATAAGTCAACGTAACCCTTCCAATTATAATGTATATTAATGTGTTTTCATATTTACCAATGTTGGGGTGGTTGGGGCTGGGGGTATTTAAATTCATGTGAAAATGCAATAAGAGAATTTACTGGAACTGCAATTTACATTTATTAAAAGTTCAGGGTGAAGACACTTTTATTCAAAGCTGTTTTGCAGCACTGATTTGAGCTAATTCAGTAGAACTGCCCATACTGTATATGAAAATCATCAACCTCTTTTGATAAACCAATTAGTGATTCTGTGGCATGCCTCGCCTTCCACCCATATTACACAGTCATTTGTCAGGAAATGTCAGAGTTTTAATAAACCTCTAAACAGCCCGTCACAACATGGCCTGCACCACTGGCATTTTGCTGGGTCGTAATGAGAATTGTGTCGGTAAAGGTTAACCCAATCAAAATTAATGGTGAGCCCAGCCAATGGGGAAATGGTGTTTGTGATAAAACTTATGAGTTGGGAGGGTTGTGGATCCAAGTCGATGCCGCAGCCGTTTTATTCAGAAATGTCTTTTTATTGATACTGTTTAGACTTGGTTTGATAGCTCTGATAATTGGGTTCTGTGATTTCTCTCCTGCAGCCGTACTGTTCGCTACATCTCCATCTTCAAGTTTCTGCAAATCCCTACACATCTGGAAACATAGCTAGCAGGGAGTCGACGCCGGGGATCATTGTCGCATCAGGTGGGTGAAAGGGAATCTCTTGTGACTGACATGTCAGGCATGTCTTTCTTCTTTCTTCGTGCACTTCTGAGGATTCCTGTCTTCTTCTTCTTCTTTTTTTTAATTCTCCTGTTGAAACCACTCATGACCTGTTTTGTTTATCTGTTATACAGTAATTAACACATACATTCTTTGTCATTCTTGAGTGGTAAAGCAATTACTCCTCTCAGGTGCCCACACATATTTTTTATAAAGGTACTGGATTAAAGCATTTTAAGACAAAAAATGAGTTACACTTTGCAGAAGTGCTCCTGAAAAGGAAGTGAATGCATCTAGTTGAGATGATCAAATGGATTCTGAGTTGTTCGGTTTGTTTAATTTTCTTTCATCACAGGACAAAAAGGGAGGCATAAAGAAAACCCATCTCCAATTCTGCGGGTCATTTCTTATTTTTTTTTTATTGGCACTGATGTTCACAATCGACTTGTATATCTCCTTTTGTTAGACTTTCTTCTCTCCATTCATGGATGCATTAGATAATGTTATGCTAACTCATAGAGACAAAGACCATAAAAATCACTTAGGCCGACAAAGAAGAAAAGAAATCTGCCTCTTTGAATTAGCTGGAAATCTTGGCACTCAACGTTTCTGTGCAGTAATGTTTCCGCTGCAGCTCTTCAATGCTGACGTGTTCTATGCAGCTGAATTTTGGCTGTTTGCACTTTTTTTTTAACTCTTGTCCTCAGCTGTTTGTCCTTGTTCAGCATCAGTATACAACTCCCACAGGATATCGGACATCATGCGTGTGTCACCTCACCTTCAAACAGGGGCGATTGACAGGACGATGAAAACTATACATTCTCATCGGTTCAGTCGTCAGCGCATCACGCTGTCCCTGGGAACACAGGAGACAAAGCAAGGTCTCCCATTGACTCACTGTGGGGGAAAACAAAGAAATGAAGGGAAAAATGCGATCAGCTGCCCCCTCAGCTGAATTCACACCTCAGTGATATTTACTCCTGGATGGACCGACACTGTCCCCTCAGGTTTCAGGAGAAAGCCAAGCTCATGCTTAAAGTTTGGGTGTCTCTAGGTGAAATATGTTGAATTGTGAGAGCAATGGAGTGACTTTGTTTGTTACTTCTCATTCTTTGAATGACAAAATGTCCAAAACAATCAAAGGAATATTAATCATTGGCTTGTGACATAACCAATATACGTTTAAAACGGGGGAGGAGTGGATGTACCTCATACTTGATATTGAAATTGGTAGTTTGGGCCAGCATTACTGTCTCTGGTGATAAAGTTTCACTTAACTGGTGAAACCTGTGGATATGGTGACATTTAATGTCAAAATATCTGTTTTTAATTTCCAGTAGATTGTTAAGACCTCGTTCAGCTTTTGACGTAATGCACTCACAGCATCTTTAGCACAGTACTTTTCTTTCAAAGTGATTATTTACTTGTGATTAAGATAATACAACAGTAATATAATGATTAAATAACTATCAGCTTTGAATCCCGAGGTTAGAACTAAATGCCAGTTTCCACATCCTTTCATGCAATTTATAATTCAGGGTTAGGGTTTCTACTCTTGGGTTCATTACTTGAGTTAAATGTTTGAGACTGATAATAAGTAATTGTAACTGACAGTTACTGCCCACAGGTCATCAGTGGGGAGATGGGATGTGCTTTAATTTAGCAAGATGTCAGTTGCTGCTGTAAAATAGGGCTGTGTCCATATAAGGCCTCTTGTGGTAGTCGTGACCTCTGACCTTTAGAATTTTCTGAATGCTCACATGACTCCGAAGTTCAGTGTTCACTGATGTTTTCAGAAATGGTGTAGGACATACAATCTCAGAGAGGTTGGTTCAAAAAAGAGTGAAAATGTTCATTTCAAAAGTAAACTTGACACTAAATCTGCTTTTGCTTGAGTTGGTAAATGTAGAGTCAATGATTTAAACTTCCAGTGGTTTTTATTTCCAATCTGTCACATTCTTCACAGCAGTGCTTCAGTCGTAGCAGAAAATCAAGTAGCTCATTGAAGGTGGAAGTCTCCGCAGGACTAGATTTACTGTCACCGCTTTCAGTTTCTGTTTCCGAAAAAGACACAGTCATGAAATCCCAGACAGCACACAGCAGGTGAAGACATTAGAATGAGAGTAACTACTGTTCTATAAAATTTGGATAATACTGTATGGTGGGGCGGCTTTTGCTTAGTAAGTAGAGTCACTAATTGGAGATTCTGTGACGGGATCCCTGGCTCCTGAAGTGCTTGGTCTTATACTGAACTGCAGTTTGAGAGGTCCAAACTGTGTTTGTGTGGTGCACAGTGATAAAGGGGAGCTGCAGCAGCATTATATGGGTTTAAAGGTATTTTTTGAATATATTTGTTCTAACTGTGTTAAGTTGCTCTTTGCTGAGTATCTCATCAGGAAATGTCTTCGATTTTTCAACAAGGGCCCTTGACGAATAAAGGAATGAAATAGTTTTTCTGGGTCTTTGCTAAGAATCTGGTTGTCCCTCCTCTGCTTGCTGCCTCTGTCTATCCCCTGATCTACTCGTCAACTTGGGTTGTTATAGGAAGATGGCAGTGAGTGACAGAGAGAGTTGAAGAGAGGAGTTTGGATTTTACTTAAATAAACTATTATGGCTGAATCTTCTTCTGATGTGGGAGATATCGATGAAGCATCTGACTCCGATGGTTGTCCCTGTTTGTTTTAGCTGGAGTATATGAGCGAAGCGCTCCTCAAACTTGAAGCGAAGGCAGAGTGAAGGAGAGAGATGCAACAATCAAAGGGACGAAGACTCACTGCAGGGTTGAGAGTCAGACTTGTGGAGTGAGACAACTGCATTGTTGACAGACTCTCAGCAAAGACCCAGAATAACAATATGAGCCTTTTACTGGTGGACTAGATTGTAGCCACTGTCCCTACCAGTGGAGGCGATCTACTGCACGGCTTCCAAAAGTTTTTACAATTTCCATTCATTAACATATCTACATTTAAAAACATAGGGCTATCGAAAAAAATCAGTATTCCACTTTAACATCAGGTGGGAAAATGTGGCTTTACTGAACTTTATCCCTGTACACCGAGGTGAGAAAATCCATCAAAGAAAGTTAATAAAATCAGGATTTTCAGCTTTTAAGCTTTTCTCTCTAAATGTTTGGGATTGTGAAGCACGTTGTCACTCAGTTAGGTTTTACACTTTGAGGTAACCATACCTCTGAAACACTCGCGGTAGCTTCCAGCCCCAGCCACCTGCCACCAATTACAGGCTGAATTAAAATAAGTGCAGCAGTCTGTAAAGGAGTCCGTACAGCATTCAGAGAGCTTGTCTTAATGTGGTCAGAAGTGCTGAAAGATGAATACAGTAATCTGGATTTATTGGTTAATTTAGGAGTGTGGGCTAATGTCGCACTGCACTGTAGATCTTGTGGAGCAGTGTAATTACAGCCTCCATCTGCAGCTGCAGCCTGGAGCCCCCTGCTGTATCACTACTGTCAGTCTAAAGGCTCTTTATAAAAACTGCGGTTAATTTGCTCTCGCACAGAGTTCATTTCCTGTGCCTTGCATTATGTATTTTGCCTTTCCTCAGAAAAACTCACTGTAGTTTATTTTCTCTCTGTTCTGTGAATCTCCGTCTTACCTTCAGGCTCATTTGGCTCAGAGCTGACTGCCAGCAATGTCAGTGTGTACATCACCTCGGATGCAGGAAACACGTGGAGACAGGTGAGCACTTTTTATCACTGCGGCAGTGTCCTACTGTTAAAGTTCAATTGAAATTCAAATTATCCTCACTTTGAAGTATTTACATGTAGCAACAAAGACACAGCAGCTATTGTACATATTTCATAATTTTGTATGTACTTTATAGCTTAGATGAATGGGTTATTATTGCAGCAGTGGACTAACAATGGAGGGGCGAGTTAGAATGCATGCTGCTCAACTTCTGTGATGCCCTTCTGACTGGAAAACATCAGACTTAATATCCCCAAAACAATTATTAGCTTCCCTACGCCTTAGAGAGTCTTGCATGGGTGGAGGAGACAGGACAAACCCTGGACAGATTGCCAGTCTATCACCGGGTTGACACATCTATCCTGTTCACACCTGGCATTAATGCTACCCACTGGTGAACAGATCTCGCTTCCTTGCTCTATATGCAAAAACATACATCATTTCTGTTTGCAAAGACCAAGTGTAAATAGTAAAAATAACTTTATTTGTATAGCACTTATCAACACAAACAACAAAGTGCTTTACAGCAGGCAAAATGAAACAATACAACTTAAAAACATGAGCAAAAGCAGGTGGGTAAAATGCATCCAAGGTGCATTGAGGACAGATCGGCATCACTCACGTTCCCTCATTTTATCATTCAGGCGTTTAATCCACATACACGAGCCATTGTTTTTTTATGTTGATGATCAAATCACATTTTAAGAGTCATTTGCTTCAGTGCCTGCACACAGCCCAGGTAGTTGGCCCTCTCCATTTTCGATTTATGGAGCTTGTTTCTAATTAAACATGACAATGAAAAGTAATTATTCAGAAGCAGATGTAGCAAGGTCTAACTGTGATGTCTACTGTGTGCTTGTGTAGCTGGAGGGATGCGGCGTTGCCGTGTGCAGACATGTGTTGGACATGCACACTGGTACAAGCCGCCACTAAGCGTTGTTTTTTTTTTTGTGCTTGCAGATCTTCGATGAGGAATATGCAGTGCTCTATCTTGACCAGGGGGGCGCCTTGGTTGCAATAAGACACACTCCACTTCCCATCCGACACCTATGGTGAGTCATTATGACAGAGACTGCATTTGTCACAGCATGACGAATTCCCTCGGAGGACGTTAGTCAGACAAACGCAAATGAGTTTTCCTCGAACTGGGGTAGATATTATTCTGAATAGAAAACCCATGAGCCACGGAAAACTCTGCTTTGACAATTGCCATCCTGTTTCACCTTTCTGTGTTTGAAGCCATAATGAGTCTAGCTTCCACTGATCAGTGTTCACTGAGCAGAGCGCCTCAGCTCTGCTCTGAATATGAAATAAAGTTGTTAGACGACTCTCAGGGTCATTAGCTTGTGCACACTGTCGGGGGGATTAGCACTGGTCCCCTGTGCAATGGCTGTTTGTGTTTCCAGGTTGAGCTTTGACGAAGGACGGCAGTGGAACAAGTACAGCTTCACTAACACGCCCCTGTTTGTGGACGGGGTGCTGGGGGAGCCTGGGGAAGAGACTCTCATCATGACGTGAGTGACAGAGATTTGTCTACATGGAAATCTATCAGTCAGAGTGAAAAATCAAAGTACCAACAAATAGCCTTTGTGTGTGTGCAAGTGCTTTTATCCGAGCCTGTGCTACTTGCATCTTCATCTTATCCTGCACAATTCAGCATTTCTGACTGACTGTTTTCCTTTTCATGAATAAAAAAAAAGGTTTCCTCAAGGTGTACCCAACATCAGAACTGGGTGTCTCCAGATTGCGATCACAAGAGATCAATGCTCCAACAGCCGGCGACAACGTTACTGTCCATTTGAAGAACTTGAAGGAAAATGATCAAATAAAAAAGGCTGAGAAAATAGATGTAAAACTTTGTTGTAAAAAAAAAAAAAAGTTTTAACAGCTTTAAAAAAGTGAGAGGAGCAGTGAGTGTGATGTGGCATGTCCTCAGAAATCAGATTTCTGAAGATTTCCTTTTGTGTTCCTTCACACTTATTTTTAGAAAAACCCCAAAGCTGAAGTCTGTGCATGAGGGTATGACGCAGCACTACTCGCTTATTGCAGACAAGATTTAGGACCGTGGGATGTGTTACCAAAGGGGTTCCAGAGCCATTACATCAATGTTTCATGACACTTGCCATAAATGACAGACTGACAGTCAGCTCTGTAGTCAGCTCTACAGGAGAGTGATAGGGCACAGCTGGAGAGGCAGAGAGGGACAGAGAGAATAGGAAAAAGGCACAGCAACAGTCCCAACTAGAAGAAAAGGAGTCGAAAAGACAACCCTGGCATTGTGAACACTGAGAAAGTTTTGGAGCATGCAGCCTCTCAGCTGGCAGACACGCCATTAGTTTTCATAAGACCATCATGCACTGTTTTCTTATCAATTTGTACTCATTTTTACAGTAAGTGCCTGTCATGGTCGGGCGCCTCGAGAGCTAATTGACAGATTGATTGTGATAAATTTGGTTTGTTATGGATGATTGTGTGTGTGTGTGTGTGTGTGTGTGTGTGTGTGTGGGTGTGTGTGGGTGTGTGTGTGTGTGTGTTGGGGGAGGGGGGTCAGTACAGAGAAACACACCCACTCAATTTAGCCAGAGATGGAATATTTATCTATGTAGTTTCATAACCTTGAATGCTATCTTGATTTTGACAATTGCAAAAAATATGGAAATTGATTCTGATTAGCTTGAGCACTTAGAAGACATGCATTTTTCAATAACATCAAATCAACTCAGGTTAATGACATAAACTTTTAGTTTAGTATTTCTGTCACTTTTTGTGTGCAGAAAAAAACAATGGCAGCACGAGTAGTGTTTTCCATCTTTATGCCCCCCCCCGCCATTCAAACAACTATCAACACCTATGTATTCCATCACATCATACAAACTTTTTTTTGCATATATGTAGTGTATATATATATATGATGTTACGTCCCCTGTTTTCTTACTAACTGCCCCCCAATGATTGCCAGTGGTACTGCTCTGTTTCATTTGTATCCATAGCCTTTCACTTAACGTGCACAAATACAGACACAATGAATGCAGAATAAGGACAGAAGGCTCAGTCCGTTTCTGTATATGCAAATCTAACGATGAGCATAAATGACCCTGAGCGTATTGTTGAGAAGAGAGTGCACTGTTGGCCATCAAGTTTGTTGGGTTAGCGGTTCTTGAGAAACTCTCAGAAATCACTTTTACATGTTACATGAAATGAAGCAAAAGATGGAATTGCACAAAGGCAATAGCTTCTAAGAAAGGCGGGACTCAACTGCGCTGGCACTTCCCATGCTGTCACCATCGGAGCGGAGCGGCCAGCTCCAGCAGTAACGAACGAGACTGACTGACCATGAAGGCAGCCGCCCGGAAATAACGCAGGCCAAGCAATCAGCCCCTGCCGACAGACACATTGTGAACAGGCACTGCACTAGTGGGATTCCATGTTCTTCATAATGATGGCACATGTCATCCATTGCGACAGTGAGGCTTACTGCTGTGTTTTTAATCATTTCTGGACAAAAATGGAGCTCCGTGGCAGAGAGGAATGAGAAGTATCAGAGTCTGGGTACACATACTTCACAACACATGGGGGGAGTCAGTTTGTTTCCTGTCTGTTGTAGGGGCTGCTGACAATAAGAAAGAAAAACAAAACACTGCACATCTCCAATTCAGTGTGATCATTATACGAAGCGTGTTTCATATGTAACGAGCAGCAGCGTGTGTTACTATTTTCCAGGATCTTCGGCCACGTCAGTCATCGCTCCGAGTGGCAGCTGGTGAAAATCGACTTCAGGTCCATCTTCAACAGGAGATGCACAGAGGCGGATTATCAGACGTGGCACCTCCACAACCAGGTACATACTGTGTCACCACAGAACAAATAATGTTCATCACACATCCTCAAAATCACAAGCCAGATTATTGCTTAGAGTTAAGAAGTCTCTCTGATGGTCAGTAGTCAAACATTTGCTAATTTTTACACAATATATTGAACCTGATATGGTCAAAATCAACATAATACACACTTCACCGCTCCTCTGCTCCCTCCAGTGGTTACCAGTGGCTGCCAGTGTCCACTTCAAGAAAGTGAGAAGAAAAAAACAAGCATTTTTGTAGCATTTTGTAGTTTGGCTTTTTTGAGGCTAATGTGCCTACATGATTCTTGCTGTTCTGGGTTTGTTCCCTCATGGTTGAATACACTTATTGTAAGTTGCTTTGGATAAAAGCGTCAACTAAATGTAATTTAATGTAACGTAATGACATATTTGGAGTCACTGAGCAGCAAGGAATAAAGATGCTCAAGGATAACGGAGAGCGCTTATATGTAGCAGCAGAGAAACAAGGTCAGTGGTCGTTTTATATCTGTCGCTGTGACAGTTTGCAGGTTCAGCACTTCACTTGTGGGGAAGGGAGTCTAAATCTTTCCCACCACTGTTTTTTTGCCACTGCAGATCCAGACAGGCCCTCCTTCACACAAATAGCACATTTCACACAATGTTACCGGGAACGTGTGGTGCAGGGTTTTTAAAATATATATA